GTAAATATGAAGGCCAAATTAAAATGAGGTAAAGTTCTCCTTTTTTAAATTAACTGGTGTATTTTAAGTGTATTTATTTATTCATTCATTTATTGGTCCATTTATATATTTCTGCTTTTATTTTGAAGTATGTCAGTTTTGGTCCTCCATATAAAAAGCTTCAAAAAGTGAAAGCAAATAAGAAGTCAGGGTCATAATTTTAAACWACAGCAAGCAAAAATCAAACACTGCAAACATCAGCAGATTGTAAACAACCAGTGTGTCAAAGTAAAYGAATCACAAAACAAGAAGGGTTTCAGTTCAGATGTTTCCACTTTTGCCTTCAAAGATTAGRCCCTCATGCACACGCAACATTCAGCCTCCTTTATCCAGTAAGAGTGCCTTAAAATTGGAATCTCCCAGATCTGTAATGCAGCGTCACAGCAGCCAGCCTGAAACCAGGTAGTTCAGCAGCCCATGCACAACCTCTTACCCTTCCAAAAGAGTCATCATCGTCACAGTACCCTGCCTGATCTCTAGAGGGAAGCTCCTCACATGTGTGGACGCCCCCCTCCTGTGAAGCTTCTGAGTCATAAGCAAAGTCACCGAGACTTTCACTCCCAGAGGAGAGTCGACTGTGAAATCCAGCTTGAAGAAAAGATTGAGCTGCGAACCCATGGCTCCTTTTCAGGGTGCTCACATCAGGGGTTGTAGGTTTGGGAGAAGGAGGTTCAAAGATCTGATAATCAACCAGGTGCTCTGGCTCCTCCACATCGTCTGGTTCAGAAAAGTCTTGTCTGCAATCAAAGAACTCTGGGTCTGAATCAGTGAGTTCTGGAGATTTAGAGACTTTACTGGGTTCCTTTAGTTGGATGTTTGGATCTTGCATTTCAAATTCTAAGGCTGTTCTCTCAAAATCTGAGAGGACTCTCTTAAAGTCGGGAGAAAACTCAAAGTCCTCAACAGTTTGGGATCCTCGGTYATCTTGAGCTGCGGGCTGCGCTGAGCTGGACTCACTGAACACTGGAGACACTGGACTCAAATCATCAGAGGCAGCTCCACTGCATTCAGAAACTCTCAGGGCTTGATCTCCTGAAAATATTGTCTCGTAGTCTGGAGGTGCCAGAAACTGATCTGACATTGGTGAAAGATGTTCACTGGACTGTGGTCCTTTAGGGGATCTGTCCCAGTCTGAGTACTCCTGAGGCAYGTCTGATTCTAAATATGAAGACTTTTCGAATGTGAGCAGAACTGGAGTCACGGTTCGATGAGTTCTGTATGAGCCCTGAGYAGGAAGCTGTATGGGAAGTGATGTAACCGGCTCATCATCAATGAACAGCCCCCCTACTATCCTGCCCCCCTGTGCTGGAGGAGCAGCAGGCATCRTGACATCATCACATGTTTCAGCTTCTGTGTTCTGTGCAGGAACCTGGAAGTAAAATGAYCTTTGTCATCACCAAATGAAACTGGAGAATTTGCATTTCCTGCAAAAAATGCAGCAGGAACGTTTAATGCTGTAAGATTTTTGCTGAACACCAAAAAAACTTAAACTAGTCTGAAAAAATGGCTAAAATATAGCTGAAATAGCTGAAACTATAGCACAAAGAACCAGAAAGTGCACGTTTGCTGAATAAAGCGGTAAGAAGCTGAAATCATCATAAAAAGGTGAATTTAGCTGGAAAAAAATCTCATTAGTTAAAAAGTAGCGAAAAACAGTAAACAGCTGAAATTAACAAAAAGCAGCTGAAAGAAGTTTTAATTGGCAGAAGAATGGAAGAAAAGGCCAAATGATAGCTAAAAAGCAGAAAAAATAAAATCAGCAAAATAGAAATTGAAATGAAGTAAAACTAGAACAAATAAGTAAACAAAAGCTAAACCAGAACAAAAGCTAAAATGTGCAGCAAAGACTTCTGACTATTTTGAAAGGTTTTAAGGATGTTGAAGACAACTCCATTCATTTCAATGAGGAAAAACATGTCTGAAAAAGCTATTTATTTGAAAAAGTATAAATTGTTGAAATACCAGAAGTCAGTCAGAATGTACTGAAGAAGCTGCACTTTTTGATGTAATAAAGCAGTGGTTCCCAACCTTTTAAGACTTGTGTACCCCCTGAGCCATTTTGTCATACCACTAGTACTCCTTCAGTCAAACAATGATGATTCTCCGGAACTACGAGTTGTACAACAACTGATTATTAAATGAAAATTATTTAACCCACTAGAACGTTTAATTCTCAGACATTTTTTTACCAACTCAAATTAGACATAAAGATAAAAACATTGGCTTGAAAGTGAATAAATATTTAAATAAATAAAACAGGTAATGGTAGGTGCAGAAAACAGCAGTGTYCAAAAATACATAGGATTTTCCAAAATACATCACAAACTCACCCAAATGAGCAAATTCCATGAGATTCCACTTTTTATACTGGATTCCATTTTGTGTTAATTCCGTGATTCTGACTGCAATTTAGGCATTGCGGAAATCACAGGGCCCTACAAATCTCAGTCCTATTTTTATTTATTTTATTTTACACACCTGGGAAATCTTTCCATGCACCCACTGCAATATGTTTGTGTACCCCTGGTTGGGAATTACTGCTTTAGACAGAGTATGGTCTGAAGGAACTGTTCAAGGTCCTGAAAGTAGTGTTTCAGGACTTTAGATCAGTGGTTCCCAACCTTTTTAGACTTGTGTACCTCCTGAGCCATTTTGTCATACCACTAGTACACCTTCAGTCGA